CTTCCAGGCCTTCCTTCTGCGCTATAAAGGTGAAGCAAACCACTGGATTGGGCTGGGAATGAGGGATAAAGACTGGGAGTGGATCAATGGCACGGCCTTGAACAGCAGGTGGATCCCTATGTCCGTGCTGGAGCCCCGGGGTGGGCCCCAGGGATTTCCTGGAGTCTGGGATGCCCCATCCTGGGATGGGCACCTTCTCCTGCCCCGTGTCCAGGCAGCTCCTGGCTTTCCATGGGGGGTTGGGATGGGCCGAGGTCGCTGCCCCCCAACCCTGATCAGAGAATTGGAGATGCCCTCAGCCAAAGCCCTCCTCTGTCGGAGGGGAAATCCCAGCTCTTCTTAATTTTTTTTTTGGGGGGGTAGTTTCCTTCTTTTCCTTTTCCCTTTCTGACTCTGATCCCGTTGGCATTTGCAGGTTTGAGGTGAGGGGTGTGGGGCCCTGTGGGTACCTGAACCAGGATCAGCTCGTCCCTGTGCCACACGGAGAAGAACTGGATCTGCAGCCACCCCGACAACTTCGTCCTGTAGGAGGGGAAATTAAGAGACCCCAAACCAGGACTCTCAGCCTAAATCTCCGGCCAGACGAGGGAGCTCCACCCCAGCACTGCAAGTGGAACTGCTGGGGGAACATCTCAGTTGTCTGGCTGGGAAATTTTCGCTGAATATCTCAAAAATATCTTGTATTGGAAGGCACCTCACAAGGATTATCGAGTCCAACCCTCAGCCCTGCCCAAGCCCACCCCCAAGAGTCACCCCCTGTGTCCCAGAGGATCATCCAAACCCTCCTGGAGCTCTGGCAGGTTTGGGGCTGTACCCACTGCCCTGGGGAGCCTGGGCAGTGCCCAACCAGCCTCTGGGGGAAGATCCTTTTCCTGGTATCCAACCTGACCCTGCCCTGGCACAGCTCCAGCCGTTCCCTGGGGTTGGCATGCAGAGGGACCTTGAAAAGTCCTCCAGCAAAGCCTTGGACACTGTCTCCCAGGGCACACTCCTGGAAAAGCTGCAGCCCACAGCCTGGTGCCTTTTGTCATTGTCACCTCAGTAGCTGGTCTCAAGGAGGTGAACCTGCAGGGACATGATGTGGAAGTGGACGTGTGCCTTCCTGGACTAGGGGTTTCTTTCTCCAGAAGTCTTCCTCATCCTCTAGTTATATTTACTTTATATTTACACCCTAACAGTTTACATCCATAACACTGTATGCACTATATTCAAGCACTATAGTGCTTGAATGTGTGCATGTGAAGTATTTTTACATTGCTGAAAGCTATATGAAACTGTGAATGTGAATGTACAATGTCCTGATTGTGGCCTCAGCAGAGTTACTGTATCAGTGCTGCTGCTGTGCTTCTCTCTCCTTCTCCTTGTTTTCCACTTGCATTAAAGTTTGTACGACCCCACCGCTGTCCGTTGTGTCCTGGTCAGTGCGGGAGCTGCGGGGGCCGCTCGCCCTGTTTGGGGCAGGGAAAGGCCCGAGGGAACGTCCGTGGGTGCTGGGGTGGCTGAAGGAGCCCTGAGGGAGCCAAGATGGCGGAACAGCCCTCACAGAGTCCCCCTCACAGAATTGCCCTCACAGAATCGCCCGCACAGAATCACCCTCACAGAACCACCCTCACAGAACTGCCCTCACAGAATCACCCTCACAGAACTGCCCTCACAGAATCACTCTCACAGAATTGCCCTCACAGAGTTGCCCTCACAGTATCGCCCTCACAGAGTTGCCCTCACGGTAAAGACACTGAAGGGACGGGTGTTGGAATATGTGTGTTTATTTTAGGACAGTTTGGTTGCAAAGGAAAGCAGGGATGGAGTCGCTTGGCTTATTGTTATCTATAGTAATGTAAAAGCATAAAAATAACACTGAAGTGATGGGAAGCGAGATTATGTGACTCTGGGAGAAACTTAAGGGGAACTTGGCAATCTGAATACAGACGTGGTGAGATGTATCTGTGTGTGCGTGAAATTGCTTGGGAGTATTTTTCTCCTGGGCAGAGAATGCTTAACTAAAAAGTGGATATAGAGAAAAGCTACTGACTGGAATTTACTGCTGATGTAACGGGGTGGATAAACCATGAAAGAACTGTAATAAATGATTTTGTTATACCATACGGTCCATTGCCGGAGTGTGTCAGGTGGAAGCATCATCCTAACTTCCCAACGTCTCCTGCCGTGGGCGGGGAGAGCTGGAAAGGGGCTTTTTGGCAAACCCACTTGTGGTCACTGGCACAGATATCGACATCCAAGCTCTTGCCTTTCAGGGTCCCACACCCTTCATCCAGCTCCCGCAGGACCCCAAACCTGCACAACAAAGGGTTTATTGCCCCATAACCAACCCCAACGTGCCCTGTGACCCCAATGTGCCCCATAACCAACTCCAACATGCCCCATGCCCCCATTGTTCTCCAGGACCCTGACTCTTGGTCTGCAGAGTGTTGCCAGAGGAATAAGAGACCCTTGCATGGACCCCAGCGATGTGTGGATGTGGATTGGAGTCTCAAATGAATCAAAGCTGCTTTTTTACCCCCCCAGACCTCAGACACTCACCTGTGGGGGTCGTAGGGGGTGTTGTCCACCCACGTCCACTCCTTGTGCCGCGACCTCAACCCGACCCACACCGACCACGGGCACCTGCCTGTGACACTCTCGACGTTCTCCTGGGATGTGGAAGGGACCAGTTGCTCAAAAAAAAAAATCTCTCCATGGGGAGTTCCGTGGGGTGCAAAGCCACAGAACAAACCTGACCCCCCAAATCCATGGGACACGAGTGTCCCCATGCTCTGAACCCCAAACCCTCCTGCTGCTGAGAGCCTTTTGCTCCCCCGCCCCCCCCCAAAACACCAGGAATTCAGGGTCTTTTCCAAGCCTTTTCCTCCCTGTTTACCATTTCTGTCTCATTCTTGAGCACCACCAGCTCAGAGCCCTGATCTTTGCAGCTTTTCCTGCCCCGAGTCCAGTGTCCCAATTCCTTGGAGAGCCAGTAGCATCTCTCCCCACGGAGCTGCCAGTCCTGGGGGCACAACTTGCAGACAGCAGGGGCTGGAGAGGAGGAAAGGCCACGAATGAGACCCCCCAAAGGTGGGCAAGGTCTTCCCCGACCCCCCAAATGAAAGGCACCAAACCCTCGAGTTATTTCCCACTGTTGTGGGTTTTCTGCTCTGCCACCTTGGAGGAGGAGGAGGAGGAAGAAGATGCAGTTGGGTGACCATAAGGGCACAGTGGGTGGTTGGTGTGCAGGAAGGGTGGTGAGAAATATCCCCCCTTGGGCTGACCGTGCTCCTCCGGGGAGGTGAGACCGTCAAAAATCGCACGGAAAAGAGAATTCTTCCTTAAAAATGCTCCTTTTTGCCAAAGAACCCTCAGTGCAGGGTCTCCTTGCAGGAGGAGCCCCCTGAGGTCCCACCTGAGCCTCTCCCAGCAGAGCCAGGTGGGAAGGGGGCTCACCTGGGGGGCTCTGCCCCTGGGGCTGGCAGAAGTACCGCACCAGGGATGGGAAGATGCATCGCTCCGTCTGGTTCCTGGCCTGGATCTCCACACTGGTATCACTTTCAGGACCTGGAGAGCCCTGAAAAACTGGGAGCAAAGACCTGGGGATGAGAAGCTGAAGCCAAACCACAAACCCCACAAAGCCAGGGTGGATTTTGCCCCGCAGTTAATGAAGTTGGCCCGAAGCCCACGGGTCTGGTCTTGCCCTCCTCCCTCGTTCGTGGGGATGCTCCAGGTGTGCCCAGAGGGGGTTTTGCTCTTGGCTCTCGTGTCTGCACCCCCCCTCTTGGGCCTGAACCACTGCAACAAACCCAGATTTCCGCTACCAGGCATCTTGCCAGGGTGTGAGATGGAGATAAGAGCTGGTTACTCACCACTCCCATTTCGGAGCAACACCAGCACCAGCAGGACGAGGTGCCCCACCGCCCCGGCTGTGAGGAGGACTCTGTGCCACCACGGGCACAGGGCAGGAGCTAGAAGAGGCCACATTTAAGCTTAAAAAACATGAAGATTGGGCGTTCGGAGCAAAAAAAAAACCCTCTGCTGAGCTGTGAGTTCGAGCAGAAGTTTCTGGTTGCTTTGCTTCCTCCAAAGCCATAAATTCCCCCCTGACAGGGCTCGAGCCAGGGCAGCACCCCCGGGGGGGATTGGGGGGCTCAGGGGGTGCAGCAGCCTTGGGAGCAGCCTCGAGGACCCAGTGACAGTGGGCAGGACCTGGGAACTCCCCAAAATGGGCTCAGTTTCCAGCTGGGAGTTGGTGGCCGTGGGTCCCTCCAGCCCTCGACTCCTCTGGGGTCCGGACGGGGCTCGGCCCCTTCCCTGCCCTCCCAGGTGCGGTGGTTCCCCTGGATCTTCCCGGGGTCCCTTTTGGCCAACAAGGGAAGGGTCTGGGAAACAAAACTGTTCCAGTTTCGGAGATTTTCCAGCCTCTCCTGTCCCTGTCCCGCTCCGGACAAGCCCAGATCCCATTTCAAAGGCCACCCCGTGAGCTTGGAAACCTGAACGTGGGGACGGAGAAGCGAAGGGACCCCAAAGGTAACGGACCCAAAACTCTTCCCAGGGCCTGAAATAAGCCTTTTTTCCCCCAAAATACACTCACCAGGACATTTCTCAGCTGGGGAAGGCTCATTCCCAGGATGTCTTAGATCAGCATAACCCATTTCCCCAGCCATGGTGGCTCTGGAGGTTGTTGGCGTGTCCCGAGAGCGACACCAACCTCAGACACCTTCTCACCTCGTGACCAACGCGCGTCCGGTCCCAGGAAATGGCACCAACCGGGCCTTTTATGTTTCTTTGGGTTTTTTTTAAACATACCTCTGTATTCTGCAGCCTCCCCTATGCCTGGGGAAAGGGTTAGGGTGTCCCCAGCCAGGAGGAGGAGGAGGAGGGGGGCTCACCTGGAGGTGCAGGGACACATGCAGGGTTGGGCTGAACAGGGGGAAATTTATCAAATTAATCAAATTAATTTATTAAATTAACTCAAAAAGCCTCTGATTGAGGTTTTTAGGGGGTGAGGCTGAAACGTGACAGGTGATATTTGGTGTTGCTTCCCCAAGAAGCATCTCTCAGGGATGGGGTGGTGGTAGAAATGCTGCAGCCATGGGAGGGTCAGAACCAGGCAGGGCAGGAGGAGCTGACACCCCTCGGTCATTTAAGGGGGTTTTTCCCCTCTTGTCTGACACCCCCTTGTCCCCCTCAGCCCCATTAATCGGGACAGATCCGGCAAGTCCGGGTTCACTCCCAAAGTCCGGGATGGACCGCAGGCTCTGGGACACGGCTCCGTTCTGGTGGCACTGGGAGATCCTTTACCCCCCTCGTGCAGCTCCAAGTGCCCGAGGGGCCAAGTCCTGGTTTCTGGGGCTGCCCCCACAGTTGGTTTTGGGGTCCCGCGGGGGCTGCGGGGGCCGCCCGAGGCCGGGACAGGACCGAGGGAATGTCGGCGGGAATGTCGGCGGGAATTCCCGGCTCGTGCGCATCCCCTGCCGGCCATGGCGCACAAACGCACCCGATTTCCCTCCGAAAAGGGGGGAAAAAACGGCCCCAAATCCCTTTTGCCCGAGCGGAGGAGGGGACAGAGTTCGGGCAGAAAAGTCCAAAAATCGGTTTTGCCCAGCTCGGGAAGCACAAAACAAACAGAAGTGAGGTGGGACCCCCCCAGCAGCACTTGTGTGCTGTGTGTCCCCCCCCGACTCCAGGGTGACTGGGCAGACTGGGAGCACTGAGAAGCAGCCCCAGGAGCTCCAAAGCTCCGAAATTTGGGATGGAATCCCGGGGAGAAGGGACAGGGGTGGATTTCACAAGGTTTTATTGCAAAACTGAACAAGGTGAAAGAACAGAACAGCAGCAGTTCTGGTGGGGATCACCGACCTGTATCCAAGGTGGGATCTCCTGCTTCACTCCAGATAGGCAGCGTAGAGGGTTAGGGTACAACTGTGGACTGTTAGAGAAGCAGGATGAGTTCTGGGACGGTTCTAGAAGGAGAAAGAAACCCAAAGCCCCCAGTCCAGGCAGCCACACATGGGCTTCCACATCATCTCCCCTCCCTGCAGGCTCATCTCCTTCAGCCCAGGCACTGAGGTGACCCCGAGGGGTTGCACTGAGGTGACCCTGAGAGGTTGCACTGAGGTGACCCTGAGGGGTTGCACTGAGGTGACCCTGAGAGGTTGCACTGAGGTGACCCTG